ATCTTTGATCCTGGCACACAAATCCAACAATCACAATTTCCCCAACTAAATTGAAATGTCTTTCTGTTTAAACTGCAACTATTATTTCTGATTGTGCACCTATAGCTTTAAATTAGCCTATGCAATGTGTATGGTATATCCTCTATTTTAACAATGGAGAAGTGCTCACCCTTAAAGGATAGTTCATGTTGAGATAGAAGATTGTCCTTAAAGTACAGCTCATGGCTCACCCTCCTATGTGGCAACCAATTCTCCTCTAGCCTGGCAGAACTGTCCACCCTTTCCATTTTAAGTCTTTTCCCTCTTTCTAGTATGAATTGTTTTCTGCTGATTCCCCCCTTTGTTCTGCCAATCGATTCTCTGTGGCATAGAGCAGTGGTCCCCAACCTTGGGCCTCCAGTTGTTCTTGGACTACAACTCCCAGAAGCCTTCACCACCACCTCTGCTGGCCAGGATTTCTGGGAGTTGAAGTCCAAGAACATCTGGAGGCCCAAGGTTGGGGACCACTGGCATAGAGTGTATGCCTTCCACTTAAATTCTTGGAAGCCAACTCCCTCTTAATTTAAAACAGGGATCCAAATTATTTGAATATCCAAAGAACTATTTATCCTGAACTATCTGATGTAAGTAAACAGCAGAATCACTTGTGTAAAATTATCTGATATATGCAAAGAAGATAAATCTATGTAACATATTCAGAATTGCTATGGCTCAAGTGGATACTAATTTCAAACAAGGGAAGTATATGTCAGAACTTAAACCTATCAGGAAGGCACACTTTTTTGTTTGGAAATCAAATCCTGACCTATAAACAAAAACCCAGAGGGGGATAGCAAAGATAACATTGAAATGCATTTATATTTATTAATATTGGCCCTACCAGTCCACTCTACTCTGATGTGTAGAAACTGAGGTTAGCTTCAGAAGTCCTGGTTGAAAGTAAACTTTTCTCTTGAAGGCATTCCCCAAAAGGTTATGTCAATCAATAGAAGTTCTGCTCTTCAATATATGCCATGTGACGATTAATCCATCTTTGGAGGCTCAATTGCCATCTTTCTCTACTTCTCAATGAATCATTAGTGCAAGTAGTAAAAGAGAAGTGATATAAATTCTTCCCTGAATGGGAAAAATGTTTGGAGGGGACCTGATCCTTCAGATTCAAAGCCTCCCCAATTATGACCATATACTGCACACTGATTAACCCTGTTTCTTCCATCTCTGACACTGAAGAGATCAGGGCTACAGAGTTCTGTGAATATAGGGAAAGGGGATGTAAGGCTTCCTCTCAGTGGTTTAGATATCTTGCTGCAAAGCCAAAGGTTGGGAATTTGATTGCCATTGTGCCTCCTTGACAGGGGCTGGATTCAATGATCCATAGAGTCCTTTCTTGCTCTGCAGTTCTAAGATCATCATAATCACTCATTGCCATTACAGTATCGTCGTCGTCGTCATCTCTCTCCCTCTCTCCGAGTTCAGAAGGAGTGATCTGTTTGGGTTTTTCTCTCCATGTGTCCCTGGAATCATAGATTTATATTATTAGATCAGCACCTAAAAGAGCTTGGTAAGAGTCCATAATAATAAGTCAGACTCGTGGTGACTGTTTTCAGTATTTTCTCGGCAGGGAGTATTCAGAAGTGGTTTAAACTTCCTTTCTTCTGGAGAAATTGGGACTGTGCAGTTTACGCAAGGCCACAGAGGCTGGCTCTGCTTGCAGGAGGCACAGTGGATAACTGAACTTCTAACCTCTGGCTCTGCAGCCAGATACCTAAACCACTGAGGTATCCAGTGAGTTTAGTTAGAGTCCATACACGGAAGTAAATCTTATTGAGTGGCCTAGGGCCAGTTGTTCTCTTTCGTTCATCATAACCTAATGTGGAGTGCATGAGTACATTTGTGTGTGCGTGCACATATATATGTGTCAAAGACCAATTTATAATCCAATTATGATAATTATGGATAATCCCATTCTCAGTTCATGGACTATTTAAAACTTATTCAAGACTGGCAACAAAGTAAGCCATTGACATCCTAGTTTATAAATGCTGACTTCCTTTCTGTCCTGATCTATTTTCTCTCCGGGAAAAAAAAATCAAGCACCCGAGGCCCATTTCCGTCTTCACGACCATACCAAGATTTAATAGGCAACATCAGTAGAAAACATCTGGATTCCCAGGCCACTCCTGCAAGCCACAGGCTAAATTCAGTTTTTGTGGGGAAAGCAGAGCTGGGATGAATATATACTGTGGCAATCTTTAGAATAACCAGCAGTGGTTAAATGACATTTTATGGCCAGTGGAGAGATTTGGTTGTATTTTGAGCTAAGCAACTTCCTGATTCAAATCACAGTGAGACAAGAATACTTCTGGTACAAAGAGGCTGGGTGGTATAATGGTCACAGTGTGGTACTAGGGTTTGTGAAGTTGAGATACCAAGGCTCTACTTAGTTGTGGACATCTCTGTGTGACTTTGGTCCAGTTATACTTTCTCGGCCTGAGCTACCTCAGTTGTTGTGAAGATGATGTGAGGAAAACAACTATGTGTAGCAGCTTCAGCCCATTGGAGGAAAGATGGGGGATGACTATAGCACTGCAGGTGATGTGTCCAGTACAATTAAGTGAGCTTTCATGGACTCATATTTATATTACCTTGTTTAATCTCATCCTTTTCCCAAGGAGCTCAGAGAGGCTGACCTGGATCTTGCCTCTCATTTAATCCTGTGTGGTATGGTTAGGTTAAGAGCATGGCTATCCAATCTGTCTCCTTCCCTCTGGTCTATCTTTTCCTCCTTTGGAACTGGCCTTTTCCAAAAGATGGAGAAGGGAGAAGTTCTATTGGAATGATCCATTAATTGTCCATTACTAGGTCAAATACACATGGAAAACCCCACTACCACCAACATCAGTTTTGCACAGCCTGTTCATTTCTAAAAAGTGGAGGTAACAGGACTCAAACATCTTTGTGCTTATACCATTTCGCCAGCTGCTTGCCAAGGCCAGATGTGAGGGTGGTGGAGGCTCTCTGTACGTGCTCAAAAACACTTTTTATCCGCATATTCTAGCAAAGAGCCCTGGCACTGAAAGCTGCTTTCAGACTCAGAATTATCACTGGCAATGTGCATTTCATGGCAACAAAAATATTTCAGAAAAACGGTCATCTTGGAAATTATTATTTTTGTTATGAATCCTCTATATAGCTCATTTGATCATCTGCATAGCACATGTGCTTGACAATGAATGGTTATTATTTATGTAATTCTCTGAAGATGCAAAACACGTTGTGGTTTTGATACAATTGACACAGAGTTTGGAAAGGAAGCTGTCTTCCAACCAGCATGGTTTCTGAACTTAAGATCTACTTCTGAACTCAATGAACTGGATGCAGATTTATTTATTTTATTTATTTAAAATGTTTTTATCCTGCCTTTCTCCTTAAAAGGACCCAAGGTGGCTTACCTCATTAAAAGACAATATATTTTATTTTATTTATTTAAAACATTTTCACCCCACCTTTCCCCTTAAAAAGGGCCCAAGGCAACTTACATCCTTGAAAGACAATATTTAAAGCTTAAAATAATGAATATACAACAGTGGCTTACCTCATTAAAAGGCAATATTTAAAGCTAAGAATCATGAGTATAAATAGGCAGCTTATATCAGTAAACAACAATATTAAAGCTAAAACAATAAGTATGGAAATACTAAAAAGGAACAAATACCACAATGAGAGATGGTAAACACAAATAGTACTAAAGACCCAGTAAGAGCAGCAATGCATCATATCCATCTAAAAGTTATTAATGTAGCCAGCCATGTGATCAGTCACTCATGTAGGCAGTCACTCAGGGAAAACCTGTCTGAAGAGAAAGTTCTTTGCCTTCTTGTGGAAGGACAGCAAAAATCGGGCCAGGCTAGCCTCCTGTGAAAGAGAGTTCCAGAGGCTGGGAGCAGCAACAGAGAAGGAGCTCTCCTGTGTCCTCACCAAACACGCCTGTTAAGATGGTGGGATTGAAAGAAAGGCCTCTCCTGATGATCTTAACACTTGAGCAGGCTCATAATGGCAGATGCAGTCCTTGAGATAGCTTGGACCCAAGCCATTTAGGCTTTTATGGGTTAGAACAAATTGTAAGGAGGAAGAATCTGATGGAAGGACCCTGATGCGCCGGTCATTGTGTCTGTCCTTAGAAAGAAACTCCCTTTACACCTCAGGTGCAATGGTGGATCAGGAGAAACCAATGAGAATGCTTAGATTAAAAAAAGAGAAGGTGGAGAGATTTACTAATATTTAGTAGGCCTGTTGAAATCAACGGACTTAATCATTATTAGCTTGAGTTCCATTGATTTCAGTTGGTTCACTGTAAATATTACTATTGTATGGTGGAATTCAGTCACCCATATGTTTTGTCTGCCCCATTTGTCCCCAGCTTAGCATAATCTTTTCTGCTCTCAGGTGAGCATGTCGAAATATTTTGCGTGTAGCCTTCTACTTTAGGTATGTCAATGGTTCCCAACCTTGGGTCCCTGGATATTCTTGGACTACATGCCTTAGATCAGCACCTGAAATTCTAGCCAGCACATCTAGTGGTGAAGGCTCCTGGGAGTTGCAGTCTAAGAACCCCTGGGTTGTCCAAAGCTGCAAACCACTGATGTATGTGAAAGAATTCAAACTATGGTATGAGAAGAAAAACAAAACAGGAGAAACAGTGGGCATTTCCATATTCCAACCAGTAAAACATACCCTCCTCTATAATACTTCATTCCATTCCACTCCTACATGTTTCTAGTCCTTTGCTCATAACAGTCAACCTTCTCCAGTCACCAACCATGTTCAGTTCCCCTAAGGTCTTTAGAGGTTTTCCCCTCCTCTCTCTTATACTGTATTATACTGCAAGTCTTGGATTCCCCCCAAGCTTGCTAATATCTCCCCTCTTGTAAACAAATGGTGCTATTTTGGCCATCTTGGGGTTTTTTATACTCTTTTTTTTTGTAATCATGTCCCTCCAGGTTGGACACGGGAACATCTATCAATAGTGGGGGCGCAACCTCAGTCTTGGGCGCGAAAGGCAAGGGCAACATCGCTGGAAGACAAAAGGACACGGATTAGCCAAGATCTTGTTGGAAAAAGTTTGGCCATTGACACATTGATGGACAATGAAACACAGATTGTGGTGAGTTTTGCATACGAAACAGTTGAAATAACCTAAGATGCCATGTTTGGCAGAAAGGTTCTTGACAAGAACTTCTGTACAGCTTAGTAGTTCAGATATCTGGCTTCCGTGCCAGAGGTTGAGGATTTAATTCCCCACTGTGTCTCCTTGAGAAGGGCTGGACTCGACGATCCATAGAGTCCCTTCCAGCTTGGCAGTTCTAAGACTCTAAGTAAGCACTGCATTTTTGCAAAACTATGAATGAGTTGTATTGAAGAAAGCAGGCCTCCTCAAATGGGTGACCAACAAATGTTTTCCATGGCAGCTCATAGCATACTAGACCATTGACCATTCCAGTTTGAGATGATGGGATACATGATACAAAAGGAAACTGAAGCAACAAATTGATTAAGGGTCGCATGGGGGCAGCAAATTTCTTCCCATCCAATTTTCTTCCAATTTTCTTTTTTTAACCTTTTGAAAATTGCCCAGTGTCAAAGAGACTTAGAGGCACAACAGCAAGGGGGAATGAAAACGCACCCTCTTCTTGTGAAAAAGCATCATTACTATTCCCCACATTCACAGCAATCTCCCACAGTCTTGTTTTGGTACTTTCTGTCTAAAGAAAGCATGTTTTTAATATATATAA